AAGCTTCGACTCCAAATTTAGCCAACATTTGACCCAAAATTCGACGAAACAATTGAACCAACATTTGACTAAACATTTGAACCAGAATTTGAACGATCTTATAAACTATTTTCTTTTCCAGAACCGGAAGCAAGTCCTGCCATAGAGACGTTGATTGCAATATCATCACRAAGCATCAAAGTCACAATTAAGGTTAAAAAAAATAATGATCATAGCAAAATATTTGGAGCGTTTACCATTATGCTGAAGCAAGGGCTTCAAGTATTACCAAATTTGTTATAAAAACAAATTCCTAAAATTGACAGAAAAATAAGTTTAAAAAACTCTTTAATTCTCCAATGTCTATTTTGCAATAAACGTCTGCTCTGCTCTGCCCTGCCCTGCCCTGCCCTGCCCTGCTTTGCCCTGCCCTGCCCTGCCCTGTTCTGTTCTGTTCTGTTCTGTTCCGTTCTGTTCTGTTCTGACCGAGAATTGAAAAGTCGTTCCTTTTAGCCTGGTTCAATTTCCATTCCCAACTATTTTTTCTTAGTTCACGCAAAGAGACGAGTTAAATGGGCCACTGGCGGGATACAGAATTTTGTATCGACCCGAAGGAGGAGAAGAGATGCAGACGGATGTAGGTATCGTTACCATGGTAACGTTGACGAACCTTAAAAAGTACACAGTCTACAGTATATCAGTGGCTGTAAAGAACACTAAGTTTGTTGGTCCTGCTAGTGTCACAAAGCAGAAAAAAACACTAGAAGATGGTAAGAATAGTTAATGGAGGAAACGCATACGCGTGCTGTGTGCAGTTGTAAAGCACGCGAGGATCGGAAAAATACGAGAGAAGTGTTAGAAGTTAAGAAGCCGCTCAATTTATTAAAGGACAAAACAAAAGAATTTCAATCTCCTGAGAATTTGAACCTATTATTATGTCCTACAAATTGAACTGCTATCCGACGTACCGCAATGGTTCTATTGGCAGAACACAAAGAAGTGTTAGGAGAAACACGACGCGTAGCGGAACACCTCTCGATTGTTCTGCCAATCTCCAAATGCTTCATATCTGCACACCACACCGCAGAGCAACCATTTTTTAAATTTCTTTTATGAAATACAAATTATACAAC